TTTTCCAAGGGTGGACTGTACCGATGAGTGAGCAAGCCCCTGCCACAGGACTGGCCATAGTGGCTCACTCTGACAGCTTATTTTCTGTCCTGCCGACCGGACAACGGAGGCTCTGGGCTTTGGAAAAATAACAATTGTTTTTTACATTAAAGGAAAAAATTGGGGCGCCTGGGTGGCTCAGTCGGTTGGGCATCTGCCTTAGGCTCAGGTCATGATCCTGGGGTCCTGGGATTGAGCCCTACGTTGGGCTCCCTGCTCAGTGGGGAGCCTGCTTCTCCCTCTCCCTCTGCTTGTGCTGTCTCTCTCTCAAATAAATAAATAAAATCTTAAAAAAAAAAGAAAAAAATTATTTCCACTCAAGAGGACCTCTGAGCATACAACAGAGAAAGAGGGGTGGTCACTCTGAATCCTGGCATCTTCACCCTCTGGGGCAATTCCCTGAAGGGATGTGGGTCAGGGGCCTTGGAGTCAACAGGTGACACGGCCCTTCTCAGGGCACGTGGTTCTGCCCAAGACCAACTCTTGTCCTGGGGAAGGACTCAGAGGAAAGCGGCAGCCTGCCTGGCAGCCAGGAGTCAGGCTAGAGGCTCTGCTCCGTCACCAAGAGGCCACATCTGGGGGGGGCGGGCAATCTGCGTCCCAAGCTGGGTTAACCTGAGCAAACCCCCATCAATCCCAGTCCCGCTCAAATCCTTCAGATTTCCACTCTTGGGTGGTACTCGAGATGAGGCAGACATGGTACTCTCCCCCCTGTACACTGAAGCTGTTTCAATTGCTCTTGACTTCCCTGCCAAGTAACTGCTTTGTGGGAATGTCAGAAGGGGGCTTTTTGGGACACCTGGGTGGCTCAGTCGTTAGGTGTCTACCCTCAGCTCGGGTCATGGTCCCAGGGTCCTGGGATCGAGTCCCACATCGGGCTCCTTGCTCAGCGGGGAGTCTGCTTCTCCCTCTGCCTCTCCCCCCTGCTCATTCTCTCTCTCTCAAATAAAGAAATAAATAAATAAAATCTTAAAAAAAAAAAGAAGGGGGCTTTCTGTGGCCTCTGCATCCCCCAGACAACCCCTCCAGTTGACGGAGCAGGCCCCTCAGAGGAGCTGAGACATGGGGAGACTTCCTAAGGGTCTGTCCTGACCGCCAGTAGGGCCCAGAGGGAGCGCTTTGCTCCCTGAAGCGTCACAGGATCTCGACAGCAGAAGCCTGCTTTTGCAGGCCGAGGGCCCCGCCATGTGTCTGCACTCACCATGGCGAAGCCCGAGAGGAGGGCAGAGGTCCGGCTGGAGGCCTTCAGCTTGGCTCTGCTCAGGTAGAGTTTCCTCCAGGACAGGGCCTGCACGGAGTGGTGGTTGGAGGTGACCAGCTCCAGGTAGCTGCGGCGGACCCAGTCTCGGTAATCCATGCCCTTGTGGCCCGGTTCAGAGCAGGCAGGAGTGGAGGGGTCCACAGGCACGTTGAGCTCAGCACTCATGGTGGGAGCCAGGCTGGGGGCAGGAGAGAGACACTCTCAGGCATCCCAGAGGGTTCCCGAGACCTGGAAAAGCCAGAAGCCGGGCAAGTTAACCTTCTCTGGGACCTGTTGTACACCAGGTGTTGTGCTGAGTGTGGGTCCCTGATCCCTACACAGGATTGTGGGGACCCTCTGTTGGGGAGGAGGGTCAGGAGTGCATTTCCAGGAACCCCCCCACCCCCGCCCCCTCTAGCATCCATTGTGCCTCCACAAAGCTAATGATCCAGCCTTCCATCCCTACATCAAAAAGGCTCCAAGCACCTGTGGCTTGTGGGTGAATGGAACTCTAAGGTTAGCCACAAGCCCTAAGAAATCCTCCAATTTGTTCCCATCTTCAAGGAGTAGGGAGCTACAGCATGTATAAAGATCCTAGGACCTAGTCACTAAGCCTGGGTTTGCTCCCAGAGTGTGATCCTGAACATGACATCTGAACTTTCTGACCCTGTGCATCTTCCAGTGGGGACATCCTTACCCTTACCCTTACAGGGCTTGGAAACAAAATAACGGAACTGAAGACTCAAAACCGCTTTTCAATGCCCAGGCGCCAACCACGAAAAACACATTTCCAAGCTGGGGCTCATTTCTCAAATCCAACTTGAATTTTAATCGGCGCAGTTCACCTCCAGAAATACTTGGTTTCTGGAACTAAAGGAAAGCCACATCCAGGCTCTGATGGAAACCGTGAGCAAAAGGAAGAACTGAATCCACCGACACGAGCACCTTCCACAGAGCAATGGAGGCCAGAGGTGTCTGCAGTCCTCCCAGGTAGGTATCTGGTTTGACAATAACACGGCATGAAGATCAGAAGGGCCAACCTGTCAAGATTTGTGAATTTAAACCCAAATCTCCACTAATCCAAATAGGGGATTGGCGGTCTCGTGCAGCCCAAGGGGCCGGCCCATGCAGCAGCACGCCGGGCTCGGCTCTAATTAATCTGTAGGGCAGACTTCAAGGGCACAGACACCTCACAGCTCCCTTGGCATCAGATATTAACTTGTACGTTCAGGCCCGCATAGGCCCCACCAAAAGCCTACTTAAGGCTATTAAGAACAGATCAGTGTTCCTAGGTCCCAGGGAGCACGGCTGGGGGGTGGGGGTGGGGGCTGTTTACCAGGGTCAGTGGCTGTGGGAACGTGCCAAATTGGATCTATCCACGTCAATCTCTAAAAGGGTTCTATGGGAAGGTCCTGGATGTGGGGAGGAGCTCTCTCTTTTGGGGTGCTTTCCTCCCTGTTCTCTGTCAGGCTGCAGAAGTGTAGCTTTTACTGGCCAACAGGACCCTGGGGAACAGTTCTGTGCACTTCTATTTCTGCCAGGGGATACCAATTACTAGGTCATTTCTAGGAACGTCGATGTGAGAGCCATGGTCACTCTGCCCCTCGCCCACGTCTGCAGCCAGCGGCGCTGCTTTCGAGCACTTCCATCACCGGAACGTCCCTTCCCGCGGGGAGAATCCAGAGAAACACCGCTAACTAATCCATCAGTTAGCTCCAAATAATTGAGAATGGCATCATTTGAAAATGCACTTTTCCTCTTTTCTTCTTCCATGCGTCACAGAAGTGAGCCGACAGGTATGAGGAGGACAGCATATGGCCGTGTGGATGGGTGAAAGGCACAACTTTTGCCCCCTCAGAGTATCCATCCTCTAAACTCCATCCAATGGATGCTTACTGGGCTCTAAGGTCAGGCTGCATTTGATACTTAGGCATCAAAGATGGAAGTGGTGAGGATCCTGTGAGTTCCTTCTACCCAGTGGGGAAGCAGCATTAGGGGGTGATTCTTACCCAGAGAGCTAACTGCTGCTTTAGTGGAGGGGGTGTGAGGGCCAAGGGAGCAGAGGAGGGGCTAGGCTGCATCGGCCTTGGGGAGAAGGTCCCTACTGGGGAGCAAGAACGTAAGTAGTGAAGGCAGCACTGGCAAAGAGGGGCCCTCCGTCAAAGACGAGATGCTGCCCGCATGGGAGGGTTCTGAGAGGCAAGGGGACATGGCAGGAAGGCTGGCTGCAGAAGGGGTCAGGGAAATGTGGGGGGAAGGCTGGATACGGGGGGTGTGTGGAACCGGAGGCAGCCCAGGCAGTAGGACCGGAGGCGCAGGGCTGCAGGCACTCTGAAGGAACTAGTAAGGGGAGCAGCTTGGGGTCGGTCTGGTCTGGGTGCCCACTGAAACGGCTGGCTGACCGGGAGGGGCAGGAGGGCCTGGGGGCCTCCAAAGGGGTACAGGCAGGTGTGGGCTGAAGAAGGGGGAAGCCCAGGGGCCATCCATGGGCATGGGCTGGGCTCGAGTTGGAAAGTGGAGATGGAGGGCTTTGTGGGCAGTGAGGGCGGATAGTGGCCTCTGGGTAGTGCCCAGGCAGCCTCAGCCCTGCACATGTCCTCAGGGTGGCAGGGAGTGAAAGGAAGGGCGGGGTGTGCATCTGCTTGGAGCCAGGTCTTGAGGCAGGCCTGTGGGTCCTGGAGATAGAGAGGCCACTTCCTGCTCAGGGAGCAGCCTGGACCGGATTCATATCCATCCTAACCATCCCAGCCCCAATGTCCTACCTTGTGCCAGGCTTCCTCCCCCTACCCCGGGGGGAGAGGCAGAGTCTGGTCCTCACACTCCTGGATGGGGCAGGGGGTGGGGTGGGGCAAGATGGAACCAGACATTTGTCAGGTGGCAGAGGCTCCCTAAAAGGTACTCTCCTGGCTAAACTTTGCAGGCGATTTTTGTTGTTGTTTTTTTTAAATATATAAGGGTTAATCAGAGAAAAAAAGCTCTTGTAGAATAACGATGACTCTCTAAAGATGAGCTATTCTCCTTGGCAGGCCTGTCTGATCCAGGGGGTGGGTCTGGGGTTTGCCTGTTTTAATTTCCTTTAAACATCTGGGGCATGAGCAATGGCGAGTCTGTTTCTGACTCAGTCTCTCTCACACCCGCGGGGGGGGGGGCGCGCAGCCCCCATAGGGCTTTCCCAGAGTCATCCACCTGCATCTCTGTCCCTTCCCCTAGGGAAGCCTCAGGAGCCGCAGGACCCGCATTCGGCCCCCGTCCCCGACCTCCCTCCGAGCCTTCTCAGCGCCGCACCCCGCCCGAGGATCTCATGGGGTTGGGGCCACCTGGCCGCCCTCCAACCCCGAAGCCACCCCATCCCAAGCCTGCCCAGGAGAAAGCCCATCCCCTCCCCCCGTCGAGTCTCCCGGTGCAATTCCGGTCGGTCCCCCAGCAGGGCGGGGTACCCCCACACACCCCGCCAACCCCCCACGGCGAGCACTCACCGAGCTGCTCTGCCTGTCCGCCCGGCTCCGCTCCGGCTAGGGCTTGCGGCAGGCGGCGTGGCCGTGTTGCCCTGTGGCCCCGTGGCCCGGCCGGGGCGCTGAGCACGGCCCCCTCCCTCCTTCCGTGCGTCCTGCAGGGTACCCCCCCCAGCCCCGCCCCCGCCGGCTGCCCCGCCCCCGCGGGCTACCGCAGCCGCTGCCGAGGCAACGGCGCGCCGCCATCACGTGGTTAGCCCATGGGGGGGCGCCACGGGCCACGTGACTTGGCAGGCCGGGAGCGGAGGGAAAGGGGGGGGACTCGTGCCCCTCCTGGGGGACCCCCGCGGCGTGGACCCACTAGTCAGGACCACCCGGGCCGGAAGCCGGGGAGCGGAAACCGGCAAAAGGTGCGCATCTCTCCCGTTCCCCGGGCGCGCCGTGGGCTACAGTGAACACGGGTCGGCTCGGCGGCGAAGGGGGCCGGAAGCCTGGGCATCCCTCGCTCTCACCACCCCCTTCCTTCTCCCTCAGCAGCGCTGGCGAACGATGCGGCTGCACTTTCTCTGGTCCCTGGGTCTGGACAACAGGTCCAGGGCAGGGTGAGCCCTGCTCGACCCGTGTGTGGGTCTGACTACCCGAAGAGAGCACGGAGTCCCCAGGGTGAGCCCCAAAGGATGCCCAGGCTTGGCCATGGGCCGTGTGGAAGGGTGGGGAGAGGCCAGGAGGGCACGCCCTGCGGGGAGAGGGAACAGGTATCCCATTGTCAGCCGACAGGGCCGGCGGGGTGAGGTGGCTAGAGTGGGGAAAGGGGCACCGTTTGGGAAGGGTTCCGGCAGCCACACCCGTTTGCCAGGGTGGACCGTGGCACTGCGCACAGCGCGCAGGAACTGGTCAGGTGGTCGCCCGGACTGTAGCCGACCACCGCCCCCCCCCCCACCCGCCCCCAGGCCCAGCCAGACACACGGGGTTCTAACCCGGGTGCAGCTCGCTTGGCCCCTGATGGGCGTCCGCTGAGCTGTTCTACTAAGCTATTCAAACAGAACATTCTTTTCAGGAAGTGCATACGAATAATTAACCAAGAGGCGAGATGGGTTCATATCAAGCCCCTGTGCCAAACGGCCCCTCACAGTCCTTCCTGCGTGCCCTACATAGGATTTTTCCATCTGTCACAACACTATCCAACAGTGACACATTTATCCAAATGAAAGAAAAATTCCACTCATGTCAACCAGTCCAAGTTTTCTGACAACTGTAAGAAGAGAAGTGAACGGATGTCAGGCCAAATCCATTTCTCTCTCAAGACGTATTTTAGAGGCCAATGCTGAGAGCCGGAATGACACCTTTTAAATTCAGGAAGACACTTAAAAACAGACCACAGCCTAGGAAAATCCCAGGGTCCGATTACTGACCCTCCGCCCAACACACATGCACACACATTACAGATGACTATAGGAAAGGGGATCATTTGAATTTCAGGGGGCGGAACCCTCAAAAACCAACAGCTCTTTGTAAAATGATCTGGAAAACAGGAAGAAGAAACGCTTTGTAAACTAGAGTCATTGCATCATAGATGACCATTCTTTCCACAACAGAGTCACTTGCTTAAATTTTCACCCTTGGTGTCTGACTGCACATCCTTGAGAAAGCTTCCGGTACCAGTGATGGCGCTCCCACCCCCTAGCACACCTACCGAGCGTGCCCAGACAGAAGCAAAACCTAAGTCATCACCACCAGTGCTTTTCCGAGCCAGTTTCCTAACCAAACACAGAAAATGGCTTTCTCCCCAGCCCCTAGAAGATTAAGGAAGGTGCCAGCACCATGCTGAACGGAGAGGAACAGTTAGAATACTAATAGTTGGAAGGCCCCTCAGGTGCACCACTACCCAGAGGAGGAGGGTCAGGGCAAGGCCCATGGGTGCCAGCCACGCAGCTGGCACACCCAGGGGAGAGTCTGGGCTGTGATTTCCCGAGTAGTTTGGCCACGGCAAGTTGCTCCTTCTCCTCGGGTCTCAGCTTGAAAAAGACCAAGTCTCTGAGGCACATCCCAGGAGCTGATCACGTTCTGGTCTTCTCCATCAATGCACACCCTCATTCCATGAGGACCGCGGCCCCTGCTTTCCTCTTCCCTGGGTCTTCTCATCTGGATGGCCGCTCAGCTGCTCTGGACAATGTATCCAGTCCCTTGACAGTTCTGTCCCCTTGGCCATTGACTCCCATGTTTAGGCCTTGTCACTACCCTTTAGATCTTAAGTTCACACCTCCCACTTCCTGACCCTTTCTCACCCAGTTCTCAGCCTGTACCGCCTTGCTTCCTAGCCTGTGTTGATACCAGCTCCCCGCCCCCCTCCCTTCCCACTCAGCCTGACCCCTTCTGACCTCTCCTGCCACCACCTTCCCCCACTTCTTGCCACACTTCTCAAGAGAGCTGTCATTACCACTTCCTTCCCGGCCCTCTGCAGCCCACTGCCACTGTGACGTGAACTCCAGGACAGATTGCAGCCGTGCCTTCCTCCCTTCTAGAAACAACTCTCTCCTTCTTCTGGTGCCCTCACCTCTTTTTTTTTTTTTTAAGATTTTTTTATTTATTTGACAGAGAGAGACACAGCAAGAGAGGGAACACAAGCAGGGCAAGTGGGGGAGGGAGAAGCAGGCTTCCCGCTGAGTAAGGAGCCCGATGCGGGGCTTGATCCCAGGACCCTGGGACCATGACCCGGGCTGAAGGCAGACGCTTAACGACTGAGCCACCCAGGCGCCCCATTCTCACCTCTTTTTTTAACCTGTGCAGGCTCCCCCTCTGCTGTCCCCTAGATGTGGGTGTTTCCCCACTTCCCTCCCGACAGGTCCCACCCACTCCCGTTTTGAGGAACCTGTTGACTCCAGATGGTCACTTCCAGCCCAGATCACCCCCAGCCTGGCAGGGCGTGACCCAAGCCCCCCCCTCACCCCCACCCCCACCACGCTTACAGCTGAATACCTCCTCTTTCCTCACCTGCCTGCCCTACCTCCTGGGTCACCTGTCTCAAGAAGTTCCACCAGCCACCCAGCTGGTGACATTACAGATCTGCTGTCATTCCTGATTCCTCCCATCCCCATCCAGTCCTGGGAACTCTCCCGTTTCTCCCTGGCCCCGCTGGTCTCACACTAATTCAGGCCCTCATCACCTCTGCTCTGCATTCCTCCAAGAGCCTTCCACCTGTTCCCTTCCCATCTACTCGCCACACTGTGAAGTGGAAAAATTCCTGTCTCTCCAGCCCCCTCCAACCCTTCAGTTTTCCCTGTGGCCTTAGATCAACTCCAGTCCCCTTAACCTAGTGACTCAGGCCATGACAGGGCATCTACTACTAATCTCTACTCGGCTTGCTTTCTTAAAACTGCTGTGAGCTACCTAGGAGCTCAGTTCAGTCCTGCCCGCATCCCGGAGGCCTGGGTCACATGCCACCCTGTGGTACGCGCCACTGCACTGACCTTTCTCTTGTCTGTGTCTCTTTATCAGATCTGGAGATCCTTCAAGCCAAGGCCTACATCTCGCTCACCATCATCCCCACTGCTGAGCCAAGTACACTTAGGAATCCTTCAGATTAAGCTTTTGGTCCTGTTCAACAAACATTTGCTATGTTCTGTGGAATAAGAAAACTGAAAACTGCCTCAGGACCTGCCCCACGATGTTCTCTTTATAGAAATATATTAAAATATGGTAACTGTAGCTCACTTTAGTCAAGTATGTGCCAAACAGTAGACATAAATGAGCTTCCACAGGGGAGGAGAAGGCGCACCTGTTTCCAGAAACACTGCCGAAGGAAACGGTGCTCTCCCCACTCTCCTTCCAGGCAGCCTGGAGACGGATTGAGTTATATTCCTATTTCCGAAAGTCAACAAAACGTTACTCATCTAACTCAACTGAATAACTGGCTTTTTCCAAAAGATACATGTCGAAAAAAAAGAAAGGAAACTTGAAGTAGTAACAGTCCTCGACAGGTTCCAAACCAGTGTTTCTGAAGGTATGGGAGGGGGCGCCTGCGGCAGAAGCCGCAGGGGCGGGGGGGGGGGGGGGTTGTGTGTCTGAAATGCCTGAGCTGCGAGGAGTCGGCCTGGAGGCTGGGCCAGGCAGTCTGGATGTCTGAAGTGGGCTCTACTGTTGCCTGGGGCATCACATCCGCGTCTCCAGCACACACAACTGTGTGCACCTGCTCAGGCTCTTCCTGCCACAGAGGCCGTTTTTCAGGTATGAACTTCCCTGCTCGCTTTCAGGCACTGAGATTTGCTCAGTCACCTCACGGGACATCACTGAGCACCTGTGATGTCCCAGGCCCTGTACTGGCACTAGAGGTACAGCAAAGAACAGGACAGGCAGGTCCTCGCGCTCTGGCGGCGCTCAGAGTTGAGTGCGGGATGTGAGGGCTGCTGGTGTGGCAGGGGGCTGCTGACCAGTAAACAAGGGATGGATGCTAGGAAGACAAGGCAACAGAACAGGGTGGGTGGAAAGCTGAGGCCTGACGGCACAGGAAGGGGCAGAGCAGGAGTGAGGGGAATGGGGCACCGACCCAGGCTGAGTCGGAGGCTCCAAAGGGAAGATGAAGCCACAAACTCCGAAGACAGCAGTCAGGGTGGTATTTAAAGCCACGGGTCAGATTAAGATCTCCTGGGGCCTGAGTGTTGACCATAAAAGGCAGTGCACTGGGTCACCCTAACATTTAGGATTTGAGCAGAGAAGCAAGCCAGGGAAAGGTGGAAAGAAAGGCAGGAGGCAGTACGGTCGGGGTGCTAGGGGTTTTGGCTTCTAAATGTTAGATGCCCCCGGGGGCTGGATGTGGCAACACTGAAGGCTTTCAGTGGCATGATGGGGATGAAAACTTGGGAGAGGTGGAAGCAAACAGAGAACTCTCTGGAAGCTGGGCTGAGAAGGGAGGAGATAAATGGGGTGGTGGTCTGCAGGAGAGCCTGGAGCCGGGGATTTGCTGCTGTTGCTCATGGAGCTGCTTGTGGTTGCGGGGGCGGGGCGTGCACCAGGCACTGTACCTGGAGGGCAAGCCGGGCTGGGGGATGGTGGTGGGGCATGAGGACTCGGCCTGAACCTCTGCTTTCCCTCTGCTCTGGGAGATGGTTACCCGCTGTGGGGGAGGGCCAAGAAAGGACACCTTTTAGAAATGCACCTTTTAGATGGTGGGAGATGAACACAGTAGGGAAGAAGGAAAGGATAGGTGGGGAGTGCTGGTTCCCTCCCATGTGACTTCTCTGGTCCTACATTCAAAGTGGGACTGCGGAGTTCAGCTCCTGATCCCCCAGGTGAGATAAAGTACAGGGAAGACAGCAGGGAGGCACAATCCTTGCTTTAGGAAACGCAGCTCTCCAGAAGGCCAGGCTTGCTCATGCACGTTCCCTCACTCTCCGAACATGCCCTGGTGCTCATTATTCATAGCAGTTATGTTCCCTAAAGTCACTGTGGACGCTGAGTGTTGATTAGTGAATACTGAACCACTGCTGCTTGGGGAAACGGGGGTGTTTCTGTTCCCCCCACACACACCTGTCACATCAACCGCCTGGCTGGTGCAGTTGGGGAAGCATGTGACTTTTTTTTTTTTTTAAAGTTTATTCTATTTTATTGGGAGGGGCGGCAGAGGGAGAGGGAGAATCTCAAGCAGGCTCTGCGCCAGCGGCTCATTCCCACAACCCTGAAATCATGACCTCAGCTGAAATCCAGAGTCAGAAGCTTAACCGACTGTCTGAGCCACCCAGGCGCCCTGAGCATGTGACCCTTGATCTAGGGGTTATGAGTTCAAGCCCCATGTTGGGTGTAGAGATTACTTAAAATAAAACCTTAAGAAATAAAAATTAAAAAAAAATAAAATAAAAACACTTGCATTAATATGTATTGATTCATTAAAGACGAAGTTGCAGCCAAGGGCACTATAACTCATGCCTGAACAAAGCTTATCTAAGGCACATCCGGCCTTCTTTTGTTTAGGACACTAGACAGTACTTCGAGTACTATGCTTCAGGGCCATTTAAAAAATGGCAAAATCATCAAGGAAAAGCAAAAAATGCAAAAAAACTGCCATTAAATGGACACGTTTGAGCTGGACAGGAAGGCAGAGCACTGCCTTGTTTGAACTCAGCTGGAAACACAGCATTAGGCAACTTGAATTTTTCACCAGTCTGTGCATGTCTGCAAATGACCACAAAAGCACCACGAGTACTCATCTTGGGGTTAGAAGTGTTAGTGAACAGGTGGATTCACGAACATAGAACTTGTGAACAATAAGGGACAACTATATTTAAAACTATTATATACCTTATTATACGTGCACGCATGCACACGTACCAGGAGCTTATTGAAGGAGCAGCCTTCAGCCTACGGCTCTGGCACCGAGAGAGCTACACCGGGCCTCCCTCCCAGCGGGTCTGGGTCACACACAGCTTCTCCCCGGAGCAGCACAGCACTACGGTGCAGGGGATGGTGGATTCTGGGAGTCACACTGCTGGGGTTCAAATCCCAGCTCTACCACTTACTTGCTGGGTGACCTGGGCAAGTTTCCAGACCTCTCTGTGTTTATAAATCTCGTTGGGTAAACCTATAAGGGACATCTAATCGAAGGACAGAGTATTCTAATACAAGTAACTTTGGCTGGCACAGGGCTGTCTCATGAAGTGCTCAACAGAAATGTGGGGAGCGAGTAACTGAATGAAGTAAATCAGAATTCTTATAACCTGAGGCTTCCTGAGACAACCAAGTTATGCACACCTTTGTGGATCAAGTCCTGATTTTCCCCACCCACAAGCCAATTAATGAGGGCATTACTGAATGATTTTCTCCCCATCACGGCTTTTTTTTGGGGGGGAGGGGGGTCTCTCTGTATCTCCCACTCCCTTCTCAATGATGACACCTAACTGTTCCCTTTTCTCAAACAACAATACCCTGAAGACCATCATTCAACCTAAAGTATCGACAGCCCCTTAAAAATTGCCAGAAATTGCTAGACATTTCCTACCTAAACATCCTCTTCTGAAAACCTAGTAAACGTGTAGAACATAAACCTCCAGCCTGGCATCCTGTTATCTGTTCTGGCATTCGCCCCCCCATTCCAACACATGTCTGCTTGGTGTCATTAATAAGCTCTTGGCCAGATGCACCAGAGGCAGCATCAGAACTCGATACCCAGGGGGCACCTGGGTGGCTCAGTCGGTCAAGTGTCTGACTTTGGCTCAGGTCATGATCTCAGGGGTCCTGGGATCGGGCCCCACTTTGGGATCTGTGCTCAGTGGGGAGTCCGCTTGTCCCTCTCCCTCTGCCATTTGTGTTCTTTCTCTCAAATAAAATCTTTAAAAAAAGAACTGGAATACCTAGATCTTCAGACTCCAAGTTCTAGCACCGCTGACAAGCCTCCAGGGCAAGAGAACACCCACAAGATGCAGGCTGCAGATTCAAAGCAAGAGTTGTGACACACATCTTGTGGAGAGATTAGGAAACCAACAGTACAAAGATAGTAGAACAAAAAATAAACACAAAACTAACCAGCCAGTCCCTGACGAGAGAAACACAGGTTCCAAAATGTACAGTCACGGGTGTGCTAATTTATTAGGGCTGAATTTTCCATTTCAGTTTCCTGGGAAAGAAAAATTCCTGTGGCTTGAATTGTTTAAAGGAAAGAAGTGATCACAGATGTCGCCTGGCTCAGGGTGGGGGCCAGGAAAATCCATACTGCAAAAATGAAAAACAAGTAAAATGTTTCTTAGTTTCCCTTCGCTCAAAACCACTATTTCCTTAATTCTATCAAACTCCATAAAAGGCACAAAATGCACTTAGAAACTTGGAACTGGAGATAAATAGCCCCAAAAGTGAGCAAAGGCTCCAATTCAAACCATCTCTGTCCCTCCCACTGGCCAGAGAGACCGCCCCAGCTCACCTCGCACCTGGTTCAGATCCCCTACTGCAGGTCTAAAATGCGGCTTTTGGCCAATTCACTCCCTCCCTTCGGGTTGGGCCAGGACTCCCCACACTCTGCTCTGGTCCAGAAGAGCTGGGATTCTCTGCTTATTTTTCTGAAAGCTTTCTTCACACCCCAAGTTGCCCTTCCTATGACTCGGCTTCCTGGCTGAGCCCCACATCTCCCTGTGCACATGCTCGGGGCTTCTCAATTCATACTTGGGGGCTGGGGGCTGCTGGGCGACAGCATGTATCATAGGGTACAGTCTGCCCCTGAGCGGGAGGAAGTGGGGGTCCTGCACCATGCAGTGCGGGCTGGCCCCAGAGCCAGGGCCATTTCCTTCAGCAAGCCTGGAAACAGGCCCACTCCTGTCACATTGCTTCCGAGCCTTCCCTACAGCTTCGGAACAACATTACACAGGTCTGAACAAAACCTAAAGTGTTTCTGTTCTTTACTAAATAAACATTTCTTTCACAGAAACCAGTCCAAACTCATCACTGTCCAAACAGAAGAACAGGCACCAGAAGCAGAAGGTAATACGTGTTCGCTATCAGTGGGAACCTGAATGAACTTTGCTCAGCGGTGCCCCAAGTGTCCAAGACCTGGTCCTCTCTGTCCCACAGGCATGGAGGCCTGCCCACAGGCGGGGTCATCAACGGTCAGGATGGGTTCCCACTTGCTTCTCTCCAGCAAGGCGCTGGGAGGGGAACTGAGTTGAAACAGAGCCTCCTCCTTTTCCCTCGGGTTGTGTGGAGGGTTTCCTGAGGCCCTGGTCACAGAACGGGCCAGGCTCCAGACAGCCCACCAGAGCAAACACTGTCATCGCCCCATGATGAAGCTGGGCT